TAAATTAGTACAATCCATAACCATGTTTGGTATTTAGATGTGGATTTGTCAGAATAAAAATATATTTTACACAAATACTATTTCAACTTATCAAATAGTTGAATTTATTTAAGAAATTCTTATGGTATTAAATATATTGTTCATCTAAATCTTGGACTATTTATAGTCATAATATTGGGTCTAAAATAAATATCTAAATAAGAATATAAGTGGAATAAAGTCGCTCATATATTCTTTTATTCGGTCTCTTTTTCTAAATATCTAAAACAAATATACCTTCACGTTGGCCTGTTGAACTCATCAATTTTGTTTTTTGGATAAGTAGCTCATAAATATTTTTAGAGAAATGTTTTAGTGAGTTTTACGATACGATACAATACATTACCAATATGTTCATCAATTTGTTAATTTTTTTTATAAAAAAATTAATTTTATGTGTCTGAATAATTTTTGGTTGAATGAATGGTCATGTGGTGTGTCTCAGTGAGAGAAAAATTACACCCATTTTCCAAAATGGAATTTAGACAGTACAGGACTGCACAGTCCAGCCGAAGACGGAACCTCAACATTCTTTGTTTCCCTTCAGGTCCAAGGCTTTCACTTTTCCTTTCCTTTCCTTTCCTTAAGCTCGAAGCCTTTCACTTTCTCTCTCTCTCTCTCTTTCTCTCCAAAACCCTCGGTTTTAAGAAACAAATCCAACATGGACGCACCATTCGACTACGACGAAGACGAATCTGATCAAGCCTGCGTGCGTGGACATGGATTCATCTGTTAGAGCAGTTGAAAAACTTCTCGGTTACAGATTTCAGAACAAAAAACTCTTAGAAGAGGCCTTAACTCATTCTTCCTACATCGATTCCGAGTCTTACGAACGCCTCGAGTTCTTCGGCGATGCCGCTTTGGGTCTCGCAATTTCCAAGTATTTGTTCATAATCTACCCTGAAATTGACCCTGGCCAACTCACTCTCCTCCGCACCGTCAATATCAGCACTGAGAGGTTCGCTCGTGTCGCCGTCCGACACAGGCTCTATTCATATGTCCAACGCCGTAATGTTGCCGCTCTTGATGGCAAGGTATGGAATTACAAATTTTTGGAGTCATATATAACTTTATTATAAATTTTGGTATCATTTATAATTTGGGATAAAATACACTTTATAGTCCAAGAGTTTTGTGTTTATGTGCTTTTTAATCGTATCATTGTGTCTATTTAGTCGTAGATTTGTAATTTGTATCTAGCGATGTTTAACCGATCTTACGGGTAGAAAATATGATATTTCGTTTTCCTACTCGATATTTTGTGAAATAATTTTTTCTTGGTCTACTCTACTCGATCAATTGTAGTATTGCTACATGATTTTCGTTCAAATTAATCGAATAGAAAGTTAAATAGGAAATCGGGTTAACACGTTTTGCAATTAATAATTTTTGAATTATTTTAATAATTTAATTAAGTAATCTGCACTAATTTAACAACATAATAAACCAATAACACTAAAACCTAAAATAATTGCAATAACAATTACAATAACATACAAGAAAGCCCAGGGCATAAACATCAATCCATCATAATTGTTGCACAATTATAATAACAACTATTTTAAGTTTAAGCTATATAAAATACATCAAAAATCATAACTGCTCCAATAAATATAAATATATATATGTATATATGCGGGTAAAGTAGGATTACAAAAATTTGATGGGCATTCCGCATTCTTACCCGATTTAATCGAAAGATCAAAAAAACTTTTGCATCTCTGCGCGATTTTTTCGGTTAACCTATCAATAGGGTTGGGTAAGGTAGGAAATTACGGTAATCATAAATTTGAACACCCTTATTTGTATCTATGTCGTCCATTCATCAAAGAATTGTGACGGCTCCGATTAAACGGTTATTACGTGATTTTTAATTTTTTTTAATTTGATTCCTAAAATTTTTAATTTGTATCTATTTGGTCTCTAAAGTTCCTAATTTGTGTCTATTTGATTCCACATAATTGGCGCTTAACGATTTTTTTATAAACGTTTAGGATTAAACCATATAGATACAAATAAGGAATTTTTGGGGCCAAATAAATACAATTAAAATATTAGAGATTAAATATACACTATACGACAAAATATATTTTACCTTATACTTTTTTGAGTTACAAGAGTTTTAACATCACCCAAAGAATTATAATTTTTTTTTATTATAAACAAACTTTAAAAACTTGTATCTCATCCCTCCTCACAAAACTTAGGGGCACGGTACCAAAATTTATAAAGATATCAAGTGTGTATAGGTCATGATTTGGTGGTTTCGGGTATGTTTTCAGGTTAGGGATTTTACTGAAGCGGTTCAGCAAGAAGATGATACGAACGTGTACGGTGGAGATGTGAGGGCACCGAAAATTCTCGCGGACATTGTGGAATCTTTGGCAGCCGCTGTATATATTGATTGTGATTATGATTTGAACATTTTGTGGGGGGTGCGTGGTAATTTTAAATTAATCAGTGTGTGGAGAATGAAATTACAAATTTCTTCTACTTGAAATCAGCCATAATATCTGTCTATTTTTGTTTGCTTCAGGTGTTTCGATATTTTTTAGAACCTATAGTCACACTTGATGTACTCCAGCAACAACCACAACCGGTGACGATGCTTTTTGAGCTATGCCAGAAGGAAAGAAAGCGGCTGGATATAAGGAATCGAAAGAAAGGGAAGACAAACATTACTAGTGTTTGTGTAGATGGGAAATTTATTGCCTCTGGTCGTGCAGATCAGACAAAACAAGCGAAGCTTAATGCAGCCAAGGCAGCTCTGAAGAAGTTGTCATATTCTACAATCAGTGATGAGATGAAAGGAGCAAAACAGAAGTTACAAGAACTTTGTGGCAAGAAGAAATGGCCAAAACCAAGTTATAGGTATGATTCCTCTCCTTGATTATGGAGCTAATTTAATTTGATTTAGATTTTAATTAAGACAATAGAATTCAATGTGGCTGCGTAACTTGACAATCGACATAACGAATTATAGTCTTACACATTGTAGCTCCCTCGGCTTGCTAATATGCTAGTTGACCCTCTGTTAGTGAATTAGCATTTTATTTGGCTTTCAGGTTCAACTAAGACACTTTTGACATTGAATTTATTATTGGAATACTCTTAAGATGGTTGAATTGTTAGAGTAGGGTTTCCTCCTAGGAACTAGGACCTTGTCTGTGCCAACAACCCCCTTCTTTTCTTAATGAGAAGAGCATGTAAGCATACTTCTCTTCATGCTGGACATCGAGACGTTGTTTCAACTACACTTTGATCAAGTTTTCTCACCATTATGTACAAACCCCTTAAAAGTTTCAGCTCCTTTAGCTGGTAAAATTTGGAGGATTACACAATTGAGCTAGCCTTACCTCCTTGTTCCTTTCGTGCATAGGAGGACATTACAAACTACACTTTTACGTTTGTCTTGTGCATGCAAATTGTCATTTCATGATGTTCATTTGTTTATGCCTGCAGAATTGAGAGAGAGTCAGGTCCTGATCATAAGAAGAGATTCATATGCTCAGTTCAAATTGAAACTACAGAAGCTGTGCTGTCTGTAGAGGGAGATGAAAAGTGGAGGGTAAAAAATGCAGAGGCCTCCGCAGCTTCTATGATGCTCCAACACTTACTAGAAACAAGGCATACATGATGTTATTCTGTCAACTAGAATTAGAACATTGAAGGTGTTCTACTGTTGACCCCTGTAGATGCCTGAAATGGAGAACCATTTTATGCTTTAGAGTTGTGTATGTGGGAGTAAATTATCTTCTAACTTTAGCCCTCAGGTCTCTTTGGGCAACTACATTCTTTGCTCTGTATTGAAAGCCATATAAGCAACTGATAATGTCTTGTTCTGTGTTTCAGACTGTAACTAATTGGATGGCTAATGTATCTACGTTACGTATCTCTATGCCTAAATCCTCAGTCTTTAAAAAATCATCGATGTGTTGGCCAGTCCTCAGTTCAATGAGATAAGAACTGAGTGCGCAAAATATTTTTTCAAAGTAGAAATCAGAGGATGAATACTAGTGGTACTAATATTTATAATTTTTTAAAATAAAAGTTACGAGTCCAAAAGACATAATTGGTTATAACTAACAAACGAGAAATTAAATTCATTGAAAAATTGACGAATATCTTATAATCAATTATAAAAAAAATTAAATTAATTGTAAGTTTACATTTAAAAGTAATAAGAGTAAATTATACAAATGACCCTTGTGTCAATTAAATTTTTTGAACTAATTTTTGTGTCAATTGAGTCCTTAAATTCTTAAATTTTATTAATTAAGCACTTGAACTAATTTTTGTGTCAATTGAGCCTTTAAATTCTAAAATTTTAGTAATTAACGATTGTTAAACATGCTCACTACAAGGATAACAAATTAGGAATATTTTAGATTGTTCATTCGAAACATATTAGATGAAAAACCTTATTCCTTATGCTCATCAACCAAAACCCTGAACTTAAATTTCTTTCGTAATCATCAAACAAAGTAGATCAGCAAGTTTTTCAAAAAACCTACATTTATGTCATCTATTTTTTACACCAAATCAAATAGTTTGTTGATTTGTTTCATTTGATGGGTATAAAAGAGGTTTATGTTTAGAATTTCGGCTAATGAGAATACAGAATGAGATTTTTCGTTTGATAAGTTTCGAACGGACAATCTAAATTATTTATAATTTGTTATTTATATAGTGAACGCGAGAGACATTCCGTCTTAGTGTGATATAAGGGTTAAATGTAAACATTTGAGAGTTTAGAGACTCAATTAACATAAAAATTAGTTACGGGTTTTAATTATTAAAATTTTAGAGTTTATCAAAAACTTAATTATCATAAACGGTCATAAACTAATTGTGTAATTTACTCGAGTAACAAATTTTCCGATACAGCTCAGTGTCGTAGTGCTGTCTGAATTAAAGTATAAACCGACCACGCCGAAAGACGGATGCTCAAGTCAAAAGTGGTTCTTTTCTTTTCCTTCAGCTTGAAGTCTTCACTTTCCTCATTTTTCTCTGTAAATTCTCTCTCCAAAACCCTTGGTTTCATCTTTCAAGCAACAAATCCAACATGGACACAACAGTCGGCTACGAGATCAAAGCCCACATCGATGTCGACGACGACGACGAAGTTCAAGCATGTATGAACATGGATTCATCTGCTAGGGCAGTTGAAAAACTTCTCGATTACACGTTTAAGGACAAAAGTCTAATAGAAGAGGCCTTAACTCATTCTTCTCGCACCAATTCTGCCACTTACCAACGCCTCGAGTTCTTCGGCGACGCCGCTTTGGGTCTCGCAGTTTCCAAGTATTTGTTCTTCACCTACCCTAATATTGATTCTGGCCAACTCACTACCCTCCGCTCCCTCAATGTCAGCACCGAGAGGTTCGCTCGTGTGGCAGCCCGACACGGCCTGTATAGATATGTCCAACGCCATAATATTGGTGTTCTTGATAAGAATGTATGAAATTATATTCCCATGAATCTCTATCTAAAGGTGTCAAGTGTGTATGAGTTCATGATTTGATGGTTTTGGGTCTGTTTTCAGGTTAGGGATTTTACTGCAGCGGTTAAGCAAGAGGATGAGACGACTTTGTACGGTGGAGCTGTGAAGGCACCGAAGATTCTTGCAGACATTGTGGAATCTGTGGCAGCTGCTGTCTATGTTGATTGTGGATTTGATTTGAAAACTTTGTGGACGGTGCGTGGTGTTTTTTACTTGCAGTAACGCTACACAGATTAAATTAAGAGTTTAAATAACATGACAATTGATATTTTAAGATTTTTATTGGGGATTAAAGGACATAATTTGATATAATAGAAGATGAAAATTAGATTTTTGAGATTAAATTAAGAGTCCAATAAATAGTATAATTATATGCTAATTATAATTTTTTAAGAAAAAAATAGATTTTTATTTTTGATTTTATTTTAATAAATGACATAATAGAATATGAATTCTGATTGTAAAATTCATATTCTATTATGAATGACTTAGATCTATTGTTTGATTTTTTTAGTTTTATTCTAATACAGAATATAATTGTATACTAATTACAATTTTTTCTTAAAAAATTAGTTTTTTATTTTTGATTTTATTTGAATAAATGATACAATATAACATAAATTTTGATTGAAAATTTAACATATTTGATATTCTATCAGTGATTGGAGTATTTTTGATTTAAGTATAACATTTTAAATTTAAGGTGTATAAGTATTATATGCTTCTAAGTTTTAGGGGGTCTAGGTATAATTTATTAACGGATATAGAATCTTGACAACAGAGGTCTATGTGCTACACGTGTAGAAACTTTAAGGGGTTTGTGTGTAATATTTCAAATGTCGGGTAATTCTCCTATCTTTGTACACAATAATTTCATTAATAGATACAATAATAATGTATCCATTTATACTTTTTCTTTCCTTCAACATTTCCATCCATATTAAATTCAAAAAAATTGGTCCATATTTTTCATGGTTCCTATCTAGTACAAAAGAGGGAAGAAAGGATATCTCTCTTGAATGATATAAATTTTATCACTCTTAATATCTTTCTTCCAGCTTTCCATTCACCCTACTAAACACACCATTATAGTTTGTCCATGTTTTTTTTATAGAAGTTTTTGAAAGCTTGATTGTGATTGGGAGCCACATTAAATTCAAAGACCAAAAAAATTTAGATAGAAAGAAGCAGCCATTACTATGTTCTTGGGAATTTGGAATTTCAGATCCTGATGTGTTGAGAGACATAAAGAGCATCTTTTCTTGATGGTTTTGTTTTCTAGCAGGAATTTATGACAATTAGTTGCATGTTTGTCTGAATGTTGTTTCAATACTGAAACTTATGAAAATCTTCTATAAGATATAAGCAAATCTTTTTTTTTTTTTTTGGCAGTTAGTTTATTTATCTACCTATTTTTGTTTGCTTCAGAAATTTAGAGGTTTGTTAGAACCCATTGTCACGCTTGATGTACTCGAGCAACAACCACAAATGGTGAAAACGCTTTTTAAGTTGTGCCAGAAGAATGGAAAGATGCTTGATATAAGGCAGTGGAGGGAAGGGGAGAAACACAGTACTAGCATTTGTGTGGATGGGGAATTTATTTCCTCTGGTTGTTCGGAGCAGCGAGAAAAATCAAAACTGCTTGCAGCGGAGGAAGCTTTGCAAAAGTTGTCAGATACTACAACAAATGACAGAATGGCAACCGACCCTGTCAATGAATTAAATCAAACAAATGAGATGGATGGCACAAAACAGAAGTTATATGAGCTTTGTGCCAAGAACAAATGGCCAAAACCAAGTTATAGGTATGATTCTTCTGCTTGATTATTGAGCTAATTTTGCTTGAAATTCTAATTTAGACAGTAAACTTTGTTATAGCTGCGTAAGTAATTACCGCCAGAACTTGTGTTTTGGTCTACATAACAGATTATTGTCTTACATATTCTAGTTGCCTCTCTGCTTGCTAATATGCTAATTGTCCCTCTGCTAGCAAATATGCATTTTATTTGGCTACCATGCTCAACTAAGACACGTGTTACATTGAAATTTTTTTTTTTTTGGAATGCTGGAAGATGATTGAATTGTTATTACGATTTTCTCCTAGGTCTTAGGATCTTGTCTGTGCCAACCCTCTTTCTTTTCTGACTAAGAAGAGCATGGAAGAATTCTTGTTTTGAATAGTAACAGGGCGATGCACATACATCTTGTGCTAGACATGGAGACAGATTTCAACTACATTTTGATTAGCTTTTCTCACCATTAACATAGGACAAACGTGTATTATGTACAAGAGTAATGATACTTGGATCTAATTTGCCCACTTAATTTGTTAACATAATTTATTACAACCGTTGAATTAGCAGTATGTTCCAATATTGGATGGAGCCCACTAGGGGCGGAGCCAAGTTTTTCAGTTAGGGGGGGCAAAATACTACTACAAAAATTAACCAATTGATATAATAAAATTTTAGGTCCAATAAAATATATCCAGATTTAAGACTAAATTGCTACATGAACTGGAAAACCAGTTTCTTTTTATCTAAACAAAATAGATACAAAAAAAATTCTAAAGACATTTCAACCCAATCATTTATAAAAGTGGAACACAATATTCTTTCAAATCTCACTCACAAGTCCATGGCATAATTATCTCTTATTTTTTTGCAACACTTAATTAAGATCATCCTCTGTCTTGTTAAAAATTTGAATGTTTGAAATAGCAAAAAATATTTTTGGATTGGAGCACGGGCTATTGACTTGTAGAAAAATAATTAAGAGCACTTGTACAATTGTTTATAAAAAAAATAGGGGATAATTCGTCAAATAGAAAATATATAATATCATTGGTCATTATGATGTTTTGTATATATCTTACTCGATTCAAGAGTAGAAATTGGTTTTAGAGGGTCAATGGACCACTAACTTGTTAGAAATAAAAAGTTTATTACCATTATACAAAGTTTTAAAAAATTTGGAGGGACAAATTCTTAAAATGAACAAAATCAGGGTCCCAAATTACTATCATATAAAGGGGTTTTCCAAAAGTCATGGTGAGCAAGTGCCCACCCTTGTCCAAAGGTGGCTCCGCCCATAGATCTCACAGTCAATCCAATAGTTGTAGTAGATCAAGTCTAAAATGCTTCAAAGATTTCAGCTCCTTTAGCTGGTAAAATTTGTTGGAGGCTTGCACTACTGAGTTAGCCTTACCTTATTCCTTTCATGCATACAGAATGATAGGAAGGCAGCTCATTTTTGTGCATGCAAATTGTCATTTCATGATGTTCATTTGTTTATGCCTGCAGAATTGAGAGAGAGCTAGGTCCTGATCATAAGAAGAGATTCATATGCTCAGTTCAAATAAAAGCTTTTGAAGGGGTGCTGTCTGAAGATGGCGATGAAAAGTCGAGTGTAAAAGATGCAGAGAGATCCGCAGCTTCTATGATGCTCCGAAGCTTTCAAGAAACAGAGCAGATATGATGTTTTTCTGTCAACTAGAATGTAGAACATTGTGAAGGTGTTCTGCTGTTGGCCCCTGTAGATGCACGAAATGAAGGATTACTTTGTGTTTAGATCTGTATGTGCGAGGGAGTGAATTGTCTTATAGTTTTACCCCTAGTTCTGCTGGTTCTGTTACATAGTTTCCTCTATATGCACTCTATAAAAGCCCCTAATGTTTAGTCCTGGAGTAGTTCTCTTGTTTGTGTGTGGGGGTGGGCACCAAGTGTTTAGACATTCAAGATGTTTGATACTGATTGTATCTTATTACATTTTCAGAGCAATATCAGTGTGCAATACTGAATAATTATGCAGGTCCCTACCTTTGCCTGTATCTTCTGTCTAACGAAATAATCATCCATGAAGAGTACACTAACTTGAAGGAGCTGAGTATCCAGTAAGTCTTAATGCTTCAACAAGGGTCTCGCTAAACCTCACCATGTTAATCTTCATATTCTGCTGATCAACGTACACGGCCCTAGCAGCTTGGTAGCCCTTTGCGAATATGGATGCTGGATCGACAATTATGGGGTGATCTTGTCCGTACAGATCAAGGAGTGAGCTCTCCTCTGGTTCGATCTTGTACTCCAAGTACTGCACCCCCATCCCATGAGCCGGTTCTCCAAAATAGGCGTTCGCTGCCCAGTTGAGCCCCAGTGGCATCACTTGCACCATTACCGCCCCAGCAGATAAGAACAATTCATTTGCAAGGCCAGCACCATGAGCTCCAATCAGTACACTTCCTGAATTCACCACCTTGGAAAATTTGTTCAAATTTGACATCCTGTTGGGTCTTGTGGCAACGACAACTTGAAAGCCTAGCTCCTTCATCATACCAACCATTTCATCTTCATTCAGGAACATTCTTGTTTTCCGACGAGAAATTAGGACCAACACTGGTCTTTCTATCTCTGACACATTCTTTATCTTCAGATTGTATGATTTTCTGAGGAACTCCTTGAAGTCAGGCATGGAGTACCCTCCCGGGATTTCGCTAGAATTTATGGCCAGATTGTCATGGAACTTTAGCCCAACTATCGCTCCTGGAAAGCAATGTACACTTCTGTTTGCAGCCGGATTCATAACCTCGTACCGAGACAAATGTGAGAAAATCCTGTAATATTTGCTGACAAACCAAGGTCTGTAATCGACCAGGATGAAGCGAACATTGGATTGAAAGTGGCGAGTTGTTATGAACAAAGGGATGATAATTTCATTGAATTCATGGAATAGGTTTCCTGTGAAGCCACTGGATGAGAAGATTACGGCTGGGACATTGTGGGTGTAATGACAAGCTGGTGGAGTGATGTTTCCGTGAACGATAGTCACTGGTGTAATTGTTTTCAGAAGATTATCATCTTCTTGCCTTGCATATGGTTGAACCACGCTTTTACCAGGGACCATAGGTTGATCAGATGGTGCATGAACAGTCATTGTGAGGGTGTCAATCCTTACAGGTCGATTTGCAACACAGACAACCGAGTGAATGGCTGAATCACATGCAAATCCAGTGGCTTCAAGCTCAGTTCGATCTTCTCCTGTTTGCATACATTTACATTAATTTGATGTAACAACTAGAAATCAATAATAAAAGCCTTGCATTGGAGCTGCTGTACACCAGAATGTTTAAAATGTCCATTACTATCTTTCAAACAAGCCCCCTCAAAGGAAGCATGCAACATTTTAGGATAACTGGGAAACAAAAAATGAAGAAAAAGAGAAAAGAGTGAACCTCTCACTAGTCTTCTAAACACAGATTTCAAGGACTTGCTCTCTTCTACTCCATCAAATTTTCTGGTACTGAGACTAACACTCCAATTCGATAAGTGTTGCATCCCTGCCATTTCCAAGGAATCCCAACAAGAAAAAAAAAATCAGCTCGGAAACATTAACTTTTCCTCAGAAAGAAAAAAACATTGACAAAAATTACAAACAATGTAATGCCTGCAAGTTTAAAATGTGTGTTTACATCGATCAAATGGAACAGGATTCAATGCGAAAAATTCAGCATATAGCAAAGGGAGAACAAGTAGGCAGATTACTGGGGTTGCACCAAAATCCAGCCTTCTAGGCTCCTTCTTCATCATCTTTATCAATCCAAAAACCAGTTAGAACTTTCCTGTCTATTAAAAGAGACAAGAACACGATGAAGGTGATTCATGAATTGTAGATATACAATTGTCAGTTGGGATGTCAATTCTTTTTGAGTCATAGCATATTTCTTTCTTCTCCACCAGGGTTTCCCTTATTTTTATCATAATGTTGTTTTTCTTCTTTCATTTTGATAATTTTTTATTATATTCAACCCTTGATCCAGAACCTTTTAACTGTGTTTATAAAGCATCTTATGTGGGCAAGTCTTATGCAACAACATTCTCATGCTTTTTTATATTAGTTGTTGAATTATAATATTTCTTCAAATTGACATATCTTTTGTCCTGAACAAGTAGTTGTATGGAGGAGTGAAGCCAGCTACAAGCTCCTAAGAATAAGTACCAATCTTCAAAGAGTAAACTACTTTATAATGTTCAATTTTTTCTGTTGTAATTTTTACTTAAGAGGACTGCACTAAGAAAAGCAAGTTTTAGAATAAGATCATCTTTGGACTGTTTGGGATGGCGTTACTTCGATAGTTTGTGCAAGACTTTTTGTTTCACTAATGACTGCTATTCCAAATACGTCATGACACGGGATTATTTGGGCAAAGACTTTTAAATGAGAGTAATCAAGGATGCTTCCAGCAATAACTTAGACAGTATGCGATTGATCTAGTCACTTGCACAACTTCTTTAGAGGTTTAAATATAAAAGAAAATTGTTACATCCTCTTAGAACTGGGAATAATCGTCTTTTAGGGGGTTGGTGATTGATATGATGCATTTTCTGGTTGGAGTGATCGATGCATAATTACAAAAGTTTGAGTTTTGAAATGTACAAGATGAAGTCCCATGGTACTCAGCAACCCTTGACATTAATTCTCTAGTTAGACAATGCACCAATCAATATCCACAACCCTGGCAGCTTGGTAGCCCTTTGCAAATATGGATTTTAAGAGGGTAGTCCTTAACATTGATCAGCACCATAGTTTCTTTATGCTGATAATTTCGTAATGATCTGGTGTCAAGGGTTCAACTCGCAAAAAAAAAAAGTTTCTGCGCATGCAGGAGTAAAGTTGCACACATCTCGCCCTCCTAGCCCCCCCAGTAACAAGAACCTCATGTACTAAGCCGCCATTCTTTTTTACAAGATATAACTTCGTGTGAAGTAGTTGAGTCCTAAAGGTGAAGAATCGACAATTACATTTGCCTTTAGTCTTCTCCTCTGTTTTTTCTTTGCATTCTGTAATTATATAATTTAATCTTTTCATACCCATAAAATATCATACATTGAAAGTGAAGATTGAGGTGAACTGCAAAAGCATGTTTGGGTTTTTGCTGGCTAAGCATTATTTTAAAGGTGCTGAACTACAAGCTTTATTCTAATGGGGATGGTTATTGATTAGGACTTGTTTTTGAATTCATAATTCTTCCATCTCTGAAGAAGGCATCTTTCACTTCTCATTATTTACACTGCACGGTATATTTTCATTATCCCTTTTTGTTCATTGCATCTTGTTTCTATCCGCTTCTTTGCATCATTTAAAAAATGAGTCGAGTCCGAACCGAGATGAGTTTTGCGAGTTCGAACCGAGTTTTTTAGACTTATTTTTCTAAACAAACATAAAAAATTGTTCAAGATCGACTTGTTTAGAAAACAAACTGAACCCAAACCAAGCTTAAAACGAGTTAAACTCGAGCCAAACCCGAATAGTTCAGTTCAATTATCAGTCTTACTTAACATCATTGGGCTCTATAGCTCACTTCCAAAGAATGAAAGGATAGAAAGTTAAGAAAAAAAAATAAAAATTATAAAAAAGTAAAAGGATTAACCTTGCTTCCAAGCAAAAATTGGATAGAAAAGTATGTATGTTAAAACGTATTTTATTTATTTTTATATTTCTTAATATATACTCTTTATTTATCTGTGTCCATCTATAATTTTTCTTTCCTTCAACATTGCCATCCATTTCAAACACAAGTAAATCAGTCATTCCTATTTTTCATCCCTTTTATCGGGTACAAAAGAGGGAAAAAAATATTTTTTCTTGAAAGATAAAAAATACATCACTCTCACTTTTTATATTTCCATTTGCCATAATAATAAACACACCATTATGGTTTGTCTGTAATTCAAAGACCAAAAAAAATTATTTTGAAAGAAGCAGCCATTACTATGTTCTTAGAAATTTGGAATTTCAGATACTAATATATACACAATCAAAATGAAACTCAAAAAATTTATAATCCAAATACATATCATCCGTTAGATGAGTGGGTCTCATTAACTTTTTCAGTGGAACCCACTCATCTAAAAGATCATATGTATTTGAGTTGCAACTGGAGAAAAACATTATTAGCATAAGAGGCAGATTTACATGGGGAGTAGTGGGGGAAGTAGTGCAATTTTTATTTTAATAATGAGTAGTTTTGGAATTTTTTTATATTTATAATTTTTGAAAATTTGCTATATCACTAAAATTTTTGGGTCTAAAAATCTAAACTAAGTTACTGACCTAATAATAGGTTAGGTGATGTGGTTTCAAAAAATAAATTAAAGAGTTTTTATTAGGATAATATTAGTTTAACATCTCTATTGTCGTGTTACTAAGTCAATAATTTAGGATATATTTTTAGGCATCAATAGCACTATTCGTTATATTTTAGTAAAAAAAATAGATTCTTTAATGAATTAAAAATTTATGCTTAACCTTTTCTTAGACGATTCAATGTAGCTGTCCTCTCTTTATTCTTTCTTTTACCTCCATATCTCTCTCATTTACACACCAAGTTACCGATCATTATAACTCAAAATTTATTTGCAAAATTGCGCAGAGTTTGATAGTTATCTGTATGTTTTCTTTAATTTTTTCCTCTCAATCAGTGTTCTCTCGATAATTGAATTCTTGAATTTTTTTTTCTTGAAAATTAAATTCTAATATTTGAAATCTAATTGTAATAAATTGCATTTTTGAATAAATTATTTCGGTTAATTAATTTTTCTTATAGTTTTAACTTATAAAAAGTTAATAAGATCCATCTACAATACCGAAAATTCTTTTTCCGTATCGCGCTAATATATGATTAGGTGTCATTGATCCATCACTGAATGAGTTACAACCGTTAATGACACAAAACAGCAATATTTCACGTTTTATCAGTTATCCACTCAATAAGTTATGGTCTTTGGGATAAAGCACGAAGACAATTTTTTAAAAAAAAAAAAATTTAAAAAGAAAAGGACGAAGACAAGTAGCAGAGTTCATTCACACATTTTGTGATAGATC